GAGCGCGGCTGCAGGGGCGAGCGCGGGCTGCAGGGGCGAGCGCGGGCAGCAGGGGCGAGCGCGGGCTGTAGGGGCGAGCGCGGCTGCAGGGGCGAGCGCGGGCTGCAGGGGCGAGCGCGGGCTGCAGGGGCGAGCGCGGGCAGTAGGGGCGAGCGCGGCTGCAGGGGCGAGCGCGGGCTGCAAGGGCGAGCGCGGGCAGCAGGGGCGAGCGCGGCCTGCAGGGGTGAGCGTGGCTGCAGGGGCGAGCGCGGGCTGCAGGGGCGAGCGCGGCTGCAGGGGCGAGCGCGGCTGCAGGGGCGAGCGCGGGCTGCAGGGGCGAGCGCGGCTGCAGGGGCGAGCGCGGGCTGCAGGGGCGAGCGCGGCTGCAGGGGCGAGCGCGGGCAGCAGGGGCGAGCGCGGCTGCAGGGGCGAGCGCGGGCTGCAGAGGCGAGCGCGGGCTGCAGAGGCGAGCGCGGCTGCAGGGCAGGGCGGCACGCGGGCCTAAGGGCAGGGCAGCGCAGCGCGCGGGCTGCAGCGCAGGGCTGCGCGCGGGCCTAAGGGCAGGGCCGAAAAAAAAATGTACGGGCAGGGCAGGGCAGAACGTTCGGTGGGCCATAGGAACGATCATGCTCTAATACCTTGTCAGAATAGGAAGACAGGAACGATTGCATTGGGGTTTGGGAGCAATACAAGTAGGCAACATTAGAAGTATTGTACCCTATATGGGCTACCCCACTACAGCCTACAGACATGCAATTGTATTTTGACACAGGGCTGGGTTACTACTTGTACTCGCGGTACTGCAGCCTCAGGAGGGGCGCTTCTGGGGCTAGGGGTGCTGCTGGAGCAGGTGCTCGTGGTTCCCCGCCTAGGCGGGAGCCGCCCTCTCCCCAGTGGCTCCGAGAGTGGTACGCTCGGCGCTGCAGTCTCCGGAGTGGTGCTGCTGGTGCCGCCGACCCTGGAGTTGGAGCTCCTGCTGGTGCTGAGGACCCTGGAGCTGGAGCCGCTGCTGGTGCTGCGGACCCTGGAGCTGGAGCTGCGGCTGGTGCCGCGGACCCTGGAGCTAGAGCTGGTGCTGGTGCTGGTGCTGCTGGCGCAGGAGCTGCTGGTGGTGCTGCTGGAGGTGCTGCTGGAGCTGGAGCTGCTGGAGATGCTACTGGTGCTGGAGCTGCTGGAGGCGCTGCTGGTGCTGGAGGTGCTGCTGGTGCTGGAGCTACTGGAGGTACTGCTGGTGCTGGAGCTGCTGGAGCCGCTGGTTCTGGAGGTGCTCGTACTGGAGGTACTGGAGCTGCTGCGGGGGTTGGAGCTGGAGGTACTGGAGCTGCTGGGGTTGCTGGTGGTGCTGCGGGAGTTAGTGCTGGAGACCCTGGGGCTGAGGGTGCTGGTGCTGTCTCTGCTGGTTCAGGATGTGCTGAGCGGCCGCGGCCGTACTACGTTCCGCTCCTTCAGCAGGTTCTTGGCCTCCCGGCCTCCACTGGTCCTTCTCCTCCCCTACTGAGTCCACCACCTGTCCAGTCGCAGTCACAGTTACCGCTTGCCTCTCCACTGCCTGGTCCTTCTCCCTACGCTGGGCCGACTAGAGGTCTTACGGAGCGTCGTGAGCCTGAGTCTCGTCCTGCGTCGCCTGAGTCTCGTCCTGAGTCACCTGAGTCTCGTCCAGAGTCGCCTGTCCGCGCTGTCCGCGCTGGTCGTCGTGCTCCACGTCAGCGTCCTCCTCCTGTACTTGGCACTCACTATATGACTCTGCGTCCTTCCACTGCTCCACAGCGTGTCCCTTTGCCGTCTCCTCCTGCGTCCTCTCTTCCTGACGTTGCTGACCCGCCGTCAGACCTTGCTCGTGCTGCTAGTCCTACTGTCACGCGTCTTCTCGCTACTGATGTCACTGACCCTTCCTTTGAGTCCACTACTGCGTCTGCTCTAGTTGCTGAGCTTGTTGACTTTGCTGCCGCCTGTCGTCTAGACTACGCCGCTAGCCTTGTTGCTGAGTCTGAGTCTGTCTGTCCTCCGTCCGTCGGGGGTGAGTGTGCTCTTGGCACGGACGTCCTTGAGGACAGACAGGAGGAGTTTGAGTGCTTTGCCACTGCTTTACCTCATCTCGTGTCCATGCTGATTGCCCCTGAGGGAGACCCGGATGCACCAGACATCCCGACCCCGCGCTCTTACGCAGAGGCGATAGAGGGTCCCTACTCCTCTCAGTGGCAGACAGCCATGGACGCAGAGATGGCTTCTTGGAAGTCCACAGGCACCTACGTCGACGAGGTTCCCCCACCTGGGGCGAACATCGTCAGTGGCATGTGGATTTTCAGGGTGAAGCGGCCGCCGGGCTCTCCGCCTGTCTTCAAGGCGCGTTACGTTGCACGAGGCTTCAGTCAGCGAGAGGGAGTTGACTTCTTCCAGACCTTCTCCCCGACCCCGAAGATGGCCACTCTTTGGGTTCTGCTGCACGTCGCCGCTCAGCGTGACTACGAGCTCCACTCTCTTGACTTCAGCACTGCTTTCCTACAGGGCAGCCTGCACGAGGAGATCTGGCTGCGCCGCCCACCTGGCTTCACTGGGTCGTTCCCTGCTGGTACCCAGTGGAGCCTCCGGCGGCCAGTCTACGGTCTCCGCCAGGCACCCCGTGAGTGGCACGACACACTGAGGACTACTCTTGCTGCTCTTGGGTTTGCTCCTTCTACTGCTGACCCGTCGCTGTTTCTACGCACCGACACCACTCTGCCGCCGTTCTACGTTCTCGTGTACGTAGACGACTTGGTCTTTGCTACTGCTGACACTGAGGCACTCGCCCACGTGAAGTCGGAGCTGCAGAAGAGACACACGTGCACAGACCTGGGTGAGCTGACAAGCTATCTTGGCTTGCGGATCACCCGGGACAGAGCACAGCGCACCATCACCTTGACTCAGTCACACATGGTGCAGCAGGTCCTTCAGCGCTTCCGCTTCACGTACTCCTCGCCTCAGTCCACTCCTCTGCCTACCGGTCACTCGCTCTCAGCTCTGCCTTCGGATGAGTCCGTAGAGCCGAGTGGCCCGTATCCAGAGCTTGTGGGCTGCCTCATGTACCTGATGACCTGCACTCGACCTGACCTTGCATACCCTCTTAGCATCCTAGCACGCTATGTCGCTCCTGGCCGTCACCGGAAGGAGCACATGGATGCCGCTAAGAGGGTGTTGCGCTACTTGTGCAGTACGTCGGGCATGGGGCTTGTGCTTGGAGGACGGAGCGATGTTGTCCTCACTGGGCACTCAGACGCTTCTTGGGTTGACGACCAGACTACGCAGCGGTCGTCTCAGGGTTACACCTTCAGCCTTGGCTCTTGTTCAGTTTCTTGGCGTTCTACACGCTCGTCTTCAGTTCTCAGCTCCAGTTGTGAGGCTGAGATCTACGCCACAGCCATGGCTGCACAAGAGTTACGCTGACTCACCTACCTGCTGACCGACCTGGGAGAGCGGCCTTGTTCTCCTCCAGTGCTGTACGTCGACAACAATGCCGCCATTGCCTTGTGTCAGGAGCACAGACTGGAGCACAGAACGAAGCACATCGCTCTGCGCTACTTCCTTGCTCGAGAGTTGCAGCAGCGTGGTCAGCTTCGTCTTGCTTACGTGGCCACTCGGGTCAACACTGCTGATGTGTTCACCAAGGCGCTTCAGCCTTGTGATCATCAGCGTTTCTGTACTGTTCTCGGCCTTGTGCCCACTGTGCCTCACTTGCTTACTTCTTGACTCTGCTTGTACTGTGATCTCTATATATATACATGCATGCTTACACTTGCTAGGTTGTGATCACTGTACCTCTTGTTTATTATCAAACTGCATGTGAACTGGTCTTGTGACCGCTTGCTTGTGCTCGGAATTTGTGTGGTTTCCTTGAGATCCACCCTGAGCTTGCTTTGCTTTGCTTTGCTTTGACTGGTCTTGTGACCATCTGGTTGTCCCCCACTTAGCCTATGGGGGTGTGTCAAACATTTTACATGTTTATATTGTGTAGGCTATAGTGGGTTTAGCCTTAGGGGGTACAACATTGCTAGGGTTTCCTACTTGTATCATTCTGCTGCCTAGTTCATTCATTCTCGTTCAGTTCTACAATCTAACAATCATACCGTAACACTCCCCTTCCCCCCCATTCCCACTCTCCGCCCCTACCCTCAACCCCATTCTCCATTCTATTATTATTATGAAGTCTTGGAATATATTACTGGAAGGTCGAATACATTGGAAAATACGGTATATCTTGCCTAGCCCTTCATTATGCTATCATATTCATTCAGTCAAAATCATCAGCGCTAATTTCTGAATGTTCAATGCCTCATTTCTATAATTCATAACAGGTCCGCTTCTTGGCTGGATGATTCACCTCAGCCAGTCGTAACTTGCGGCGACAGGTTCGCTGGGGTGCACCAGCCGAGGCGCAGATGTGATGTTGAATGCGACGGGCAGCAGAACCTGTCGGTGGTGGCACCTGCGTCCCACTCTCCCAACTCTGGCCAATGAATGGCCTCTCCGCCGTCAACTCTCCTTTCCTGGCGACTCTCCGTCCGCGCAAGCGACTTTCGTTCTAAATCTGCGACAATCACACGTTTCGCATTCACAAGCCGATGTACCCGAAAGGCACCGTGCTTGACACATCCTTTCGTCGCACATCCCCTTCCTCCCCTCCCTCCCAACACACCTCCCTGCTGTAGGGATGGCTGCTGTGATGGGTGGGGCAAAAAAGTGGATCCATTTGCTGAACCACCTTCCCCGGCGCTTGCCAGTCCCTGCTACTTTTCTTCCTGCACATTTTTCCTGAAAATAACATACCGCCAGGCACATGCAGTTGTGAGACTGAATATTGTCGTGCCTAGCTTCCGAAGTGCGTCCAGTCATACGATTTCCAGTACTAGCACACTATCGCCTGCCGCCATTTGCGTTGGACCCACGCCAGCAGGCCAGCAGCGACCGTCGCTCGTCGGGCGAGAGGGAGAGCAGCGCGCATCGACGCGCAAGTGACGGCGTCGCATAGTTTTGGGACATCTCGCACGATGGGCAGCGGTTACTCGCGAGTCGACATTCCCGAGGCAGCGGGCGGCGCGGATGCTCCGACCAAGGTACGCGCAGCTGCGCGCAGGTGCGGGGCTGAGCAGCGCTAGGAGGGACGCGAGGCGGGCGAGGGGCTGAGAGGGGTGGCGTGGGCGGGTGGAGGGGGGGAGGCAGCAGCGGGATGCGCTGATGTGGTAAAAATGCCGCCGTATCCGCCAAGGCTCGTGCGGCAGAAAATCGCTCGATGCGCGTTAGGTGCTTCGATGCACCGTTAGGTTCTCGATGCGCGTTAGGTGCTCGATGCGCGTTGGGTGCGATGCGCGTTGGGGTGCGGCGATGCGCGATGGGTGCTACGCGTTGTCGCAGCAGCCGACGCTCTCCCTCCTCAACCTCGCCCCGTCCGTCCGTCTGTCCGGCGTCACCGGATGAAGCGGCACTGCCGCTCCTCGCCGCCTTCATAAAACCCTCCCCTCCCCAGTGCACCTTGCCGCATCACCTCGCCGCCGTTCGCGCATTTGCTGCCCATCTCCCGCTCCCCTCCCCACGACTCGCTCATTTCGCAGCCCTTCCGCCGCGTCCCCTCCCTCCCCGCCCTTCCTCCCTTCCCCGCCCGTCCCTCCCGCCCTCGCAGCCGGGGGAGGCGGAGCAGGCGCAGCGCAAGGCGGGGGGGACGTGCGGGCGCGTGGTGTGCTGCTCGCTGTGCGTGCTGCTGCTGCTGCTCGCCGTCGCCGTCGCCGCCTCCGTCTCCGTCTTCGTGCTGTATCAGCCCAGGGTGGGTGGGTGGGGTGCTGTACCAGCCCAGGGTTGGTGCTGTACCAGCCCAGGGTGAAATTGGGGGGATGCGAAAAAAAAAAACAGATTCAAGCGGACAATTGGGGGAGGATTGAACCACGATGATGTGGCTGTGATGATGGTCGCATGTGATGATGGTCGCATGTGATGATGGTCGCATGTGATGATGGTCGCATGTGATGATGGTCGCATGTGATGATGGTCGCATGTGATGATGGTCGCATGTGATGATGGTCGCATGTGATGATGGTCGCATGTGATGATGGTCGCATGTGGTGGTGAGCTTGTGGTGATGAGCTTGTGGTGATCGCCCTACTGCATGCCCCACCTCCCCCCTTACAGGCGCCGGAGTTCTCAGTGGGGGGCATCGCCATCACACAACTCGCACTCACGCCGCTGCTGCCGCCCTCCCAGCCAGCACAGCCATCACTGCTGCCAGCAGCCGCCCCCTCCTCCTTGCCCTCTCCCTCACTTCCAATCGCTGGGAACGTTCCCCCTCCTGGAAACATGTCTCTGCCCGGCAACGTCCCTCTTCCTGCGAACACGTCCCTCCCTGGCAACATGTCGCTGCCCTCCTTGACTGCCCCACTGCCCGCCAACCTCACCCTCAACACCGCTCAACTCTCTGCGACTGTTAAAGCTGCCGCCGCTGCCGCCACTCTCCCTGCCAACTCCACTCGCCCTGCCTCCCCTGCTGCTGCGGCCGCCGCCGCCGCCGCCTCTAAATACCTCTCCCCGCTAGCCTCATCCCCGTTATTAACATCTCCACTTCTTGCCAACGCGAACATCACGATCCACGCGCCGAGCGGCATGACTCTACTGGGGCTGCTGGCAGCGCGGGAGGCGGAGCTAGATGCAGAGCTGAAGGTGACGGTGGTGGCGGGCAACAGCAACCACGTGGGCATCTCCTACGAGTATGTCACCATCACTGCACGCCACCTCGGCTCCGACGTCGGCAATGCCTCGGTGCGTGCCTCGTGGCCAGTGGCTGGTGGTGCGTATGCTTGCATGTGGCATGGGTGTTTGAGATTGTGATTGACGAATGGTTGTGTTGCGGTTGGGTTGTCCTCCTCCCTCTCGGCCCTTCCCTCATGCCATCACATGCCTCCCATCAAACATCTCACCTCCCAATGCGGTGCACCAGATACCGGCGTTCCACCAGCCACCGCGCAGCAACACCACAGTGGAGGGCCACGTGCACCTCACCCGCCTGCCCCTGCACCTCCTGCCGCCGCCCTCCTCCTCGCCCCTCTCCGCCTCCACACTCTCCCGAGACGCCCTCTCTGCCCAATCCACTCTTCCGCTACAGGTGCTCCCTACCCCTCCCTCCTTCCCTCCCTCCCTCCCTCCCTCCCTCCCTCCCTCCCTCCCTCCCTCCCTCCCTCCCTCCCTCCCTCCCTCCCCCCCTCCCTCCCCCCCTCCCTCTCCCCCTCCCTCCCTCCCTCCCTCCCTCCCTCCCTCCCTCCCTCCCTCCCTCCCTCCCTCCCTCCCTCCCTCCCTCCCTCCCCCCTCCCTCCCTCCCTCCCCCCCTCCCTCCCTCCCTCCCTCGCTCCCTCCCTCCCTCCCTCCCTCCCTCCCTCCCTCCCTCCCTCCCTCCCTCCCTCCCTCCCTCCCTCCCTCCCTCCCTCCCTCCCTCCCTCCCTCCCTCCTGCTGCTCTCACATAGATCTCCCCTCTGCGTGCATGCTGAAGCTTCTCCACTCCCACTCTCACCCCGCGTTTACCCACTTCCACTCTCTAACCCGACCACCCTTTCTCTTGTTCCGCTGCATCGTCCCTTCGTTCCAGCATTCCTCCCTCCACGCCCGTGTGTTTGCAACGCGACCATTTCTTCCCTCGAACACTACATGCTGACACTACACCATCAGCATACCAACTCACACTACTGTGCTCCTCCTCTCTCTGCTGTATGCTGCTCTGGCATCCCCCCTCGCATCTTTCGCCTGTTCTCTTCCACTCCTACAGCTGGCAATAGAGGCGAGAGCCAACGTGGACGTTTACAATATCGGAACTCCCTATATCACGGTATGCTCCGTTTCGTATATGTTTTTCCTTGCAATGAGTGCCAAACTACGTCCCTCATTCTGGATGTCTCTCTTGTTTGACTCTCATGTAGCCATGTCTGCTTGCTTGCGTGCCCATTTGTGTGTTTTCGTGTTATCCCCTTACCACCATGCAGGTCAATTTATTGTGCAATATGGATGTCAACATTGCACTGCAGCGCGTGGACAATACAACATGTAGCCTAGAGAGCGTTCATCTATGATACAGATTATAGTATCTCTTACAGAGGACCTCATGTTGTATAATTAAGTTGTGTTTCATAAAGATGCGTATTTTGTATGCTCCACGAAGTCACTTGGGGTCGCGCAGAAGAAACTTGCGTTCTTGTACGGAAACGAGTGACGTGCTATTGGAGTGGCTTGTGCTTTCGGCCCTCCCATCTCCCTCCGCCTCGCCCCCACCACCACACCACACCCCACAGCCATTCTCACCACCATTTTCACCCGCCATCACAGCTGATCTGCCCTTGACGACCATTCACGGATCGGCATGTCGCTGCCTCGCCCACGAGTCGCTCCATGCGAGCCATCTCTGCCATCGTCGCACGCGTATTCCCGTTGATCGAGTTGAGCCGGCATCGCCTTTGGAATCAAATCCGATCATTTAGTAGCTGCGAGCTCGCTTTAGGTGATGTCATGTTTCGACATCATACTTTTCTTGCACCCATTTCACTGGTCGCACTCCTTCCTCCCCCTCCTGCCCCACCGTTTTGTCTCGCGTCCATCTTCTCGCGGCTCAACTTCTCTTGCCGCTCTCCCTCCCCTCTCCTTCTTCCTCGTCCTTCCCCCCCTCCGACCTTGCCCCTACAACCCTTCCCTCACGGCGAATCGCCGTCCTCTCATGCCGCCAGTCCGCCCTCTCAGCACGCCCCTCGCGATCTCGCAGCACCCGAAGGTCATTCGACGCAGCAGCAGCGGCACGCGCGTGGCGCCATGGGGGGCAGCGAGGAGCGGCGACAGAAGGGGGACGCGGGCGAGGAGCGGATGGGGTGGCTGTCGGCTGTGGCGATTGGCGCTATCACTCCCGGACTCAACGTGAGACACTGGCGTGCTGACGTGGCATGGAATGTCGCTTGTAGCGTGTGAGATCATGATGTAGGCTTAAATAGAAATTGCCGTAAGTGATTTACGTAATCTCTGCAGTATGGATCTGTGGCGCAATGGTAGCGCGTCTGACTCCAGATCAGAAGGTTGCGTGTTCGATTCACGTCAGGTTCAAAACCTGCTTTTTATCGATTCCTCATTTTGGAATCGGTGGTAATATACGATGTGCCATGGGCAGGCAAAGCGATGTGTGCGATGGTTAGAAGTGAGGAAACGGGCAGGAGACATGAGCAGAGCGCGGAAGAGCAGAGAGCAGGGGAGTGGGGAGCAGGGAGCGGGGCGGACGTGGGAGGCGGCGATGTAGGCCTCGACTATTCTATGATGTGCCTTATGTTTTCCTTGTTCTCTTGCCTGCCACTTGCTTCCTGTCATCATTTTCAGTGTCCCCACATCCTACCCCTTTCGATCGCACTCCCTCTTCCCTCCTTACTACCGCACCTCCCTGTCCAATATGTCACCTTCGTTCCTCCATCCTTCTCCTTCTCAAATCTCATCCCATAGTCCCTGCCATTCATCCTGCCCCCACTCCCCATCTCCTCGCTCTCAACAAGCCCACCCTCCCTTACGGAAACCTGTGTTCCCCCCATCCCTCCCCCGCCCTCAGCACCCCACACGAGTGCTCATGAACGCCATCCTGGGCGGGCTGCTGCTCTCCACGCTGCTGCTCATGAGCCCACCCTCTCAGCGAATCCACCCTTTCGTATGGCAATTCGTTCCCACCTGCCCCCCTTGCCCCGCCCCCAGCGCCCCACGTTAGTGCTCATGAACGTCATTCTCGTGGGCCTGCTGCTCTCCTTCGCCGCCCTGCTGCCCGCCGCCCTCCGCTACTCCCGCCCACATGCAGGGGACAGCAGCAGTGGCGGCAGCAGTGGCAATGGTAGCGCAGTGGAAGGCGGCAGTGGGGGCAGCAATGAGATGCTGTACCACGTGCTCTTCCTGCTGCTGCTCACTCTGCTGCTCATTGCTCTGCTCAACTGGTGGGTGTCGGGTGCTCAACTGGTGGGTGTCGGGTGTTCGAGGATTGAAGCTCAGCATAGACGAATTGTATTACTACCCATACATGCATCCACCCATGTTACTACCCATACATGCATCCACCCATGTTACTACCCATACATCCATCCACCCATGTTACTACCGATACATTCATCCACCCATGTTACTACCCATACATGCATCCACCCATGTTACTACCCATACATCCATCCACCCATGTTACTACCGATACATGCATCCACCCATGTTACTACCCATACATGCATCCACCCATGTTACTACCCATACATGCATCCACCCATGTTACTACCCATACATTCATCCACCCATGTTACTACCCATACATGCATCCACCCATGTTACCACCCATACATCCATCCACCCATGTTACTACCGATACATGCATCCACCCATGTTACTACCCTTACATGCATCCACCCATGTTACTACCCATACATGCATCCACCCATGTTACTACCCATACATGCATCCACCCATGTTACTACCCATACATGCATTCACCCATGCTATTACTCATCTCAACCCATCGGACCGTTCTGCCCCAGACATGCCACTCCACTCACTCTGCACCAACCCACCCGCACTTCGCTGCTCCCACTCCCACACTGCACTGCATCACCCCTCACACGCCCCTCTCTCTCTCAGGCCAAGCAACCCTCGACACCCCACCCTTCCCCCCCTGGCAGGTTGGCGTGGGAGGTGGGCACAGTGTCTGCCGATTCGCAGGCACGGCAGCTGCTGGCACCTGCTGGCAGCAGCGATGGTGCTGCTGATGCTCACAATGCCACTGGGGCCCCGGATGCCGAGGGTGATGCAAGCGGGTCGAGGGGAGTGCACGGCAAGAGGCACAAGAAGAAGCATCAGGGCAGCAAGTGGAGCTCCAAGGGAAGACGCTGACCTCCTTGTTCCCCGTTCTCTGTTCTGTGCTTCGTGTGACGTGTTGCTTCTCCACACTGCCATGGCTTTTGCCCATACCGTAATCCCCCGTATATACAGCCCGCTCAAGTATTGCAGCCATGGGGGGCATATGGGGCTAGAGGGGTTTACTGTTGTTACAATCCCAAGTGGGACTTAGCGAAGGATCGCTCAGGGTTGATCGCAGAGTAGTGTTGCAGCGGAAGTTTGAATCTCAGGTCAGAGTGAATGTAAATGACTGAGTTGATAATAACCAGGGCCTCAGATTCGTTTTGGCGTAGGCTGACTGGGCAACCTTAGGAATGAGTTCATGGCTGAGCGGTCAGTGGAGTTGTTAAAAAAAAAACTGATTTTCCAGGCTGTCTAGGAGAAAAAAAGCTGAACGATCAGCGTCGTTTTGCGGTTAAGTCTGAACCACTCATAACAAGTAAGACTAACAATTAACTATCCAGATCATCATCATCCTCATCATCTTCTTCATCCTCACTATCACTAGAGCCTACATCTTCTACAGCATGGGGTTCATCTACTTCCATAGCTGTCGCTCTACCCTTCTTGCTGGTTTCCCCTGGGGTGGAAATAGGGGCATTAGAAAATGGCTTCCTCTTCTTGTAGCTTCTCCAAATCTCGACCACCTCGTCGAACCGTGGCTCGTACGGCATCAGAGACATGCACATCAAGTCTCCCAGCCGTGCATCTTTGAGGCTGCTCCGCTGCCAAGACTTGATCACGTTCTGGCGAGAGAAGCCCCTTTCGCACTCCACAGTGCTAAGGGGAATCACCGCCACGGCTACCCACAACAGCACCAGGTTGGGGTAACTCTCCCGCCAGTCAGGAGTCTTCAAAATCGCGGTGAGGCCATCGTGGAAAGACCTCTCCCCCTTCGGTGCAGAGGCACGGACGGAGCAGAACAGTCGCAGCTCTTTGTGGGCCTGCCGCTTCTTGATACCTGGCATGGCAACAACCCAAGTGGAGGGGGAGGAAACAATGCAAGACGGGGCTTAGTGATGACTTAAGCAAACGGGAAGGAGGTGTATTGGCAGTAAAGAGAAACAATACGATGGCATTGAAACAAACAGAAAACTATAACACAACTCCACCTGGCTGTATGTCTTCTGCCTGCTCTGCCTTGAACAGCGTCACTAGCGAATGCAGCCACTCAACGCATCGTGCGTGACGCTCCAACTTGCTCTTCGGCCACTCATCCGGCAGGAACAGTCGGACTCTCGACAACGAGTCCAAGTCACTCAGCCGACTCTCCAGGTTCGCCACGATGCGTTCGGCGAAGTCGGTGCAGGACTCAACACAGGCGTCGTGATCACACGGGCCTTCGTAGCCTTTGACCTTGTCCTCATGTAGCGTGAACTTGAATGTTGTTGGTCGCCCATCGGAGTCGGGCCCCTCCACTGTCACTTCACGGTCCTTTCCGGGGCCGTAAAGCTCGATGAAGGGCGACAGCCAGCGGCTGAAGCCTCCCCCAAAGTCGTCCCCACAATCCACATATCGGCTCTCGATATGTGTCGTCGTGCGCTTGATCTGACCGTGCAGTGAGACAAGGTCTAGCTGCAGGCATCGGACAGAAAAGGAAGAATGTCAGCCGCGTGTACCAACAAGTAATAAAAAGCGAAGGCATGGAAATACACACTCAAACATACCTGGCGCTGCTGGAATGCCCTGTTCAGAATGTTCAACTGCTCAAGAACATCAGCAAGAAAATACATGAAAAAGTGGAAACGGTAGGAAGTGGCGAGCAAAAACATGGCGGAATGAAACTCCTGCAGGAACACGATGACAGCGGGCCACATTGCCAGGATGCGAAGCAACGCATCCCCCCGAGAGAGCCACCGGACGCTATGTATCCCCTGGACCTCCAGGCTGGTCTCGGTGAAGAGCTCATGGAGGTCCATGAAGCGCTGGTGTTTCGGGCCGGAACGGCCCAGCAGGTCCGACACCACACGGATTAGATCGTCTACCATGTTGAAGACTGGTAGATCTTCGGCCGCATCCTTAGCGGCAAGGGCTTCCCTGCATTAAACGTAATAAGAAGAATCAGTACACCGAGCAGGAAAAAAAACAATTAACGCTGTGAATTCAAAGCGGCACTAACCTGTGGGCGATGCGGTGACACGAGACGAGGTGGGGAATCCGCTGTCGCAGGCGAACCACCAGTCCGGCATTACTTCCCATCATCACCGACGCTTCGTCGGTGCTGATGCCCGAAATCCTCTGCAGGTCAACACCCACGGCCTGCAAGTGAGACAGCAGAAGGCTCAAGAGGGTCGAGGCGTCAGCTTTCTCAACGGTGATCAACTGCATGAACTCTGTCACCAAGACAGAATCCCGAACGAAGGTGGCGTAAAGAATAAGGTGCTTCCCCCGGACGCGGTCTGTGCTTTCGTCGATGGCGATGCCGATGAAGGGGCTTGTGAGGATATGCTCTAGCTGGGTCGTCTGTAGCCAGGTTGCCAGAGACTGCGTCAGTTCGCCGTAGCCGTACCTGCCAGAATACAAGGCATATATCATTAGTGACTCCGCGTCAGTAAAACATAGTAAACAGCAAAGGTTATTACCACTCACGTGGTATAGTACGTCCCATAGCCTTTCTTCGGGAAACCTTGAACCCCTTTCCGGGCAAGATACTGCACCAGCTTCACCCATGTCCCCATGGGTGCGTCGCAGTCGCTGATGAACAGAAGCGCCTCAAGCAGTGACGTGACCCGGATCTTCTCTGCATCGACCGCTGCACGATGCTCGTCGATGCGGGGCTGTTTAGACGCGGCAGCAAGTAGGGCCTCTTGCTTCTCCAGTGCCAGCTTGTGTTTTCTCGTCCCGGCGTGCTTGCGAAAGGCCTGCGTCTGGACGTCGGTAGCACATTTGCCTGTCCTGCCACAACGTCCCCTGACACCGGCGTGCTAAGTGCAGAGACTGCATTTGAAAGCAGGCAGACCACGAACAGTTTTGGTAAGTACAAGCCATGGGAAACGCTCAAGCCACTTAGTTTTGTACTTATCCAGTGCCTCGGCATAAATCGCTTCAACAATCTCCTGAACGTTGATGTCCAGAGACGGGCGCACGGTGGTTTCATTGACAACAGCTTCCGATACTGGGACGCTGGATGATGGCTTCCAGAAACTCAGTTTCTGTTGCTTGAGCATGATTGTGCGCAGTGCTGACGACTTCGACGCCGATGTGCCGACGTGAACGGTGTCGGAAACACCGGGCGGCGCGGGAGGGACGGACCGGATGGAATCCGGGCTGGAAGGCACGTTCGGGTTACCCGCCACTGTAGGAACCGGACTGGGTGCAGTGGGCGCTGGAGGTGGTAGTTGGCGGCCTAAAGATCTTAGCAGAAGATCTAGCCCATTACGGGCTTCTTCGATGGCGATGCTATCGGCGTCGTCTACATCGGCGTCACCCTCGTCGTCTGAAAGGCCGGCGCCATGGCCAGCCATGGCGGAACAGATACGAGAGCGAGCCGAGCACTGAGAGAGCGTGCCGAGCACTGAGAGAACGTGGCGAGAAATGCCTGGTGCTAGAGGCGAAAGAAGTGAAACCCTAGCGAGGTTGGGTGAGAAACGGGGGAATCCAGCAGCTACCTGGGCTTATGCAAGAAGGAGCTGGTGATGGTGAAGAGGGATTGGTTGGCAAGCTTACCGTGCCATGATGCAAGGCGACTCGACCCATGGAATCATGCACGTACCTGGTTGCAGCTTCGGGGTGGGTGAGGTGGGGGGGTACCCTAGTCGCGCGGCAACCATTTTGTGGTGCTGTACTGCTGTAACGTGCGTGCGTGGTGCCGCGCTGTTTACATTCCATTCGCCACTGGTTGATGTGGTTGAACTAACATCCAATCACGGGCGAAGATACCTTTGCGACCTGACAGCAGTGGTGTGAAAGTTCGGTACTGATGCCATTCCCGAATGCGTTGGCAAGGAATCTTGCCATTTGGGCGTGATTGATGGAGGGATACTCGAACAGCTGTATCTAGACATCCGGAATTCAGGGCCTAAACCCGATCTCCATTACAGGGATTTCAGCCCAGCCCTCCGATACAAGTCTGATGAGACAGCGCACACACCTGGAAAAAAGCTGATATTTCAGCAGAGACTGTTAAAAAAAACTGAACTTACAGCATAAACACTCTAAAAAAAGCTGCCACAACAGGCCAACGTCTCCCCAAACGGCTGAAATCACAGGCTTTTTACCCCTAATCAGCCTTTTTTCGCTGACTTCTGAGGACCTGATAATATCATGCATACATTGGGTTTATATAAGAATACAAGGGAATACAAAAAGACCTAGACTAGCCATGTACTCTAAGGGGTACATTCCCTTATTCCAGCGAATTCAAACCGTGCGGCGCGGGAACCCGTTTCAAACCTGTTCCCGCTCTTTTCACTTCAAATGTTTCTGCCTGCATCGGTCTTGGTCAGACGGTTGCTGCGTCGCGTCGACTCTTCTGACTCCTCGACTTCGTACTCGGTAGAGTCGGCTCCTGCAGCATACAGGAATGCCTACTCATGTAATTTCATATCGTAACACTCCCCTTCATTCCTGGGCGCAGGAGGAGCTGACTCGCTTGACTACTCCGGTGAGGTCAGAGCAGTGCTTGTACTGCTGACGTGGCAGGCGCTTGGTGAGGAAGTCTGCTGCCATCTCAGTAGTCGGGCAGTAGGCGAGGTCAACTTTTCCTTGGTCAATTTCGTCCTTGACGAAAAAGTACCGAAGTGCGATGTGCTTCGTGCAGTTCACGAAACCTGGCTTGTTCGCGATCCTGATGCGCTCTGGTTGTCGCAGTGAAGGCGAAAAGTAGGCGAGGTTGAGATTTTCGCCTCCTGTAGCAGCTCCTGCAGGTACAGGCCTTCGCGAATTGCTGCTGTCGCGGCGATGTATTCTGCTTCGGCCGATGACAGGGCAACCAGCTCCTGCTTCTGCGAGTTCCAGGAGATTGGCCCAGTTGGTTCCAAGCGAAAGACGAAGCC